AAGAATATTATTGGTTTTGCAGTGACATTGAAAAATGCCTCAGCCTGGTCAAAAGAACCAGCCTAAGCTTTATGTCATTCACAAGAGTCTGGCTTCTTATCAACCGCTACTTCTGCTGCACTGAAATGACCAGTTATGAGTTGAGAAAGCGCTATTTTTAGACCGTCTTAAGTCTTTGGATCCCAAAGAGTTAATCAAGGCTTAAACTACAGGATGTACTTAGAAACTAATCGATAGAACACGTTAGATATCACCGCACAGCTGCCTGGCTTGTTTCGAAAAAGGTAGTGGCTTTGTGTTCCCCATGTGGCTTTCTTGGCTCTGTGTACCACATTTTCAGGTGCTTTAAATGATTGCAAAGTGACCATGGCTGTTTCATTGAGAAGTGAGGCATTGGTCCAACCATCTCAATGTAGAAAAACAAATTATTGCAGAAAACTACTTCTGAATTAGCTTCAGCAAGGGACTGAACTTCCTCTAAATACTCATTGACAGTCTGCTTATGATCAACCAGTAGCCTCATTCAAAGACCATTTATTATATTCAGTTCTATAATAAATCTGTTCTTCCCATCATTCCTAATGAACTGGCTCTGCATACCCTTTAGCAAGCCAATGCATGGGGGATTTTACAAATCAGAGGGGTAACAACGCAGATATGTTTTCATATGATCACATTTTATGCCATTCATTTAACAGTAGTGCCTGCGTGAATGCAAATGCTGACCTCCTTACCAAAACCTGATTAAAGTGTCACATAATGAATGCACTCCTAAATTTACACCAATTGAGTTGCATTTTACATCAAACGAGTCATCATGTTCCAGATACAATGTTCAGGCCCTTACAGATTTATCAAAAACAGGGAATATAGACATTCATACCATAGGCAAATGACAAGGTTACGGTTGCTGGAGCATTCAATCACAGCCCCGAAATAAAACCCTGATGCTATTTTTCTTCATCCCTCAAATGTAAATATAACGCATCCATCACTGTTCTGACAGCCATCAGTGGATATCTAACGGCCAGCATGATAATTTGCCAGGCAATCCCACACTGAGACCAGTAGAGTGGATTTAGGTCGGGCTTTGCAGCTGGTAGTTTGGCGGCTAAGTGTTTGGTTTCATTACACTTCAGAGTGCAACTGCAAGTGAGGCACTGGAGAGGGAATTTTCTGTAAAACACTTCTCATATTTTCAAAAGCTTAAAAATTAAAGTCTCCTGCCAGAGCCTGATTTAGACCTACTATCAATCTAGCCTAGACATACTGATGATAATACAGTACCATATAAGATTTACATTGGACAAAGCAAATGCATGGAATGTAAGGGAATGTGTCAGCACTTTCCCATCATAATAGAAGTGTGTCATTTCTGTGCCATTTGCGTCACAAAATTTGTGTTCTTCATTGCTAAGATAATAATGTTTTCTAAGGGGAATGTCTTACATAAAGTTGTATAACAGTTAAATGTTTATGTAAAAATAATGAATGAATGAATTATGCATTTATATAGCGCTTTATTGTGTATTGTTGTACACCCAAAGCGCTTTAGAATCATGTGAGGGGGTCTCTCCTCAACCACCACCAGTGTGCAGCATCCACCTGGATGATGCTGGCCAGTGGCGGCAATTTGGCCAGGACACCTGGGATACACCCCTACTCTTTACGAGAAGTGCCATGGGATTTTTAATGACCACAGAAAGTCAGGACCTCGGTTTAACATCTCATCCAAAAGATGGTGCATTTTGACTGTATAGTGTCCCTGTCACTATACTGGGGCATTAGGACCCACACAGACCACTGGGTGAGCACCCACTGCTGGCCTCACTAAAACCTCTTCCAACAGCAACCTAGTTTTCCCAGGAGGTCTCCCATCCAGGTACTGACCAGGCTCAGCTCTGCTTAGCTTCAGTGGGCAACCAGTCTTAGGCTGCAGGTTGATATGGCTGTGGCGATGTAAAAATAATATTATATTGTTATATTATGCAAATGTGTGAGTAGCAACAAGTGAATGTGAAAAACACTGAAAAAATCAGTGCCAAAACAAGTGATTATCCTTGAGTGAATCATTGAATCATTCATTCAACTGATTTGTTCAAAAACTGATTCATTCAGGAATGAAACAAGTGATTGGTAACATCTGAAATCACATACTACTTTGAGTACTTATTTTTGAATAAGTACTTCACGACCATTAAAAAATAATGTAAAGTATGAATGTGACATACATTTATCATGTTGTCAATGTCATGTGACCTACCAGCGTCGCTTGTGTCTCTTCACTGCCATTCACAAATTCTCTCCTACGGCCTCATAGGATATTAAAGGGGTCCTATTATGCTTTTTCACTTTTTTAATTTTAGCCAGTGTGTAGTGTGTATGTTTGGGCATAAAAAAGATCTACAAAGTTACAAATCTCAAAAGTCCACTCCAAGGGGAGATATTTCGTTTTTAAAAAATCCCTTTTCAAGAACTACAACGAACGGCTCGTTTGGAGTACAGTATTGTTTTCCGGGCTTTGTGATGTCACAAAGCGGCCCATTAGAATATAATTAATATAATTCCCACCTACAGAAATTCGAATTGTTGGGGGATGGGGAGGGGCGAGGTCCGTGGTTAGAACACTTGGTTGAGTGCATCAGGCAAGACAACGACGAAGAAGAAGTGCTGCTGCAGAGTTAGTGCATCAGAGAAAACGAAGAAGAAGAAGAGCTGCTGTAGCGTCAAGTTTTCGGAATGTCTAAAGGCAGTCGCACACTGGACGAGAAGTGCAACGCCGCGTCTAGAACAATTCTTACAACAAGTACAACACGACGTAGCTGAGTGCCGCGGACAGATGGCGAACGGCGCCGCTGGTGTGCGTACACTCATAGAAAATAATAGGCTTGTTTGAGATGCGCCTCGCCCGGCCTGAAATGTAGGCGAGAGCAGGCGGCTGCAGTGAGGGGAGGAGTGAAATAAGCGCAGTCAAGACGGACAGTTCTGAGCTCTTGAAGTGGAACAGATACCAACGAGATCAAAGGCGGATATCGCGTTATTCTCACACACATGCTGTGTTGCTAATAAACATGATATAATTTCAGTTCTGTTGCTTTTATATGAAAATAAATATGATGAACAAGACACTCAAAGTGCTTGCTATTTAATTCTATATGAAAGGTGTATTTATCATCCATTTTTACTTTAATACAAACATGTATTTTAGATTTTTATAGAAATATGACAACAAATCACATATCTCACACAGATATCGCACTGTCATAGTGTTTGGGAACATTCATACATAATTTAAATACATAATCACATGAAATAAGGTAAAAAATAAAATATTTTAGAAGAGAACCACAGCGTCACAGTTGTCTGAACCAATGAGCATTAAGCTGTGTCATCAATCAGTCGTTTCCCATCATGCTTTTGATCAGCGCAGTCGGTGGAGAGCAACTGCGCTCGACTACACAATCTGACACAGCCGCCTCGCCATCGCGAGAGTTTTTTGGCCCACGTCAGCATGACATCAGAGAAAGTCGGACGTAACTCAGACACTTTTCTAACCGGCATGCATCTCACGGTGATCACCGGTGATCGGTTCTGCGCAGATTTTGCTGATCTCAAACAAGCCTAATGTGTTCGAATGTTAAAGATGGGGCGCGACGCTCGGCAAAAAGCTTTTGTTGAAAGACGGAGCAAGGGGCGTGGTAGTACTGAAACACGTCTAAGCTGTTCGGCAGTCACAACGCACTGGGATAGCTAACCAATCACAACACATTTCGTTTTTCGGAAGGCGGACCTTCATCAAACCCGGAACTAATCGAGCCAGTTGTGCCAGGCTGGGGAGAAAGGTACTTTAATAATGTAAATTATGTGAAAAATAATGCGTTTTTCGAACCACCAAGTATGAGGGCACGTTTTAGTACACCCCCAAAACAAAATCAAGACTTTGTAAAAAAGCATAATAGGAGCCCTTTAAAGTGTCCCTTGGATGTGCACTGATTTACACAGCTACTTCTTACCTACTGTTTTATGAATAATGTGAATTCAGGCATATTACCCTTGTTTTTTTTCACCTACTGTGTTGTAGGGAATATTTAGATGTAGGTGTCTTTGAGTGAATCATCGAATCATTCATTCAACCAATTCATTCAAATCATTGATTAATTCTGTAACAAAACAAGTTACTGTCTTTAATTCATTCAACTGATTCATTCAAAAACACTGATTGCTTATTGGTTTAAAAAAGCTGATTGTTGACAGGTGCAATGGTTAATGTTAGTGGAGAAATGCTTAAATATTAGTAAATGTTTTAACATCCAAACATTTACTGTACTCATTTATTCACGACTCATCAGTGCAAGTTATTATACAGAAGAAACATTTCCTTCTGAAGTTTCTGTTTCTATTAGGGCTGCCCCCTAATAGTTGACTAATCGATAGTCGACCAGAACAGGCTTGGTCAACTAAATTTTCATTGGTCGGTTAGTCGCGGAAAAAAAAAATTCCACAGGAAGTGGCGCAGTCAGCGACAGAGAGCTCATTAACACAGCGGGCCTGGCAAATCAACCTGCTAATAATCATGTCGGGAAGAAAATCGAAAGTGTGGGATCATTTTGAAAGGATAAAAGATGACCCCAAAAAGGTTGTCTGCAAACTCTGCAGGCAAACAATTTGTATACCATTCGTCGACATCGAACATGACTTATCATTTAAAACATGTAAGTAGACTAGTAGGCTAACGTTAGCCACTTAACATAGCCACTCATTTTAATGGTAATATGCGCCAATATATTAGGCACTTATCTAAGTATTTGTGCAGAGTGTGAAAGTTAAATGTTTAACTTAACATGCATTTCTCTAGGCTCATCCGCTATACTGCGAAGATGACGCGTCGTCAGCTTCAACTTCGCAGCTGACCCTGACTCCGCAAACTCTTGACATGAAACCCCATCTTACCGAGAAACGAAAAAGAGACATTATGGACAAAATAGCTGACTTCATTGCACTTGACATGAGACCAGTCAACATCGTCAGCGGTGAGGGTTTAAAATGATACAATTCTTTGAGCCCGGCTACAGTGTTCCCAAACATGAAACAGTCATTCACACCATAACAAGCAAGTTCAACACAACGAAAGAATTCGACCTTGAGGAATTTAAAAGTTGTTCAGCACTCAGCTTCACAACCGACATATGGACCTCTAGCCAGATCGAAGTTTGCATGACCGTCACTGCACACTTTATTTCTGAAGACTGGCGACTGAATTCATTTGTGTTGGAAACAAAAGTGTTGGAGGTGAGCCACACAGCTGCCAACATATCAGAGTGACTCAGTGAAGTGATGGAGCAATACGAGATACCAGGAAAAAAGAGGGTAGCAGTCGTACACAACAATGCCGCTAATATGGTGCTGTGCGCAGAACTACTTTCTGATAATCCATGCTGGGGTAATGTCAAGGGTGTTTGTTGTGCGGGACACACGTTGCAGTTGTGCATAAATGCGGCTCTGAAAACTGATCCGATCTGTCGAACCATTGCCACCAGTAGACACCTTGTGGGACATTTTAAGAAAAGTGCCAAGGCTACAACAGCTTTGACAGAGAAACAGAAGCAACAGAATGTGGCTGAACACAAACTCATCCAAGATGTCTCGACACAATGGAATTCCACGTACTTGATGATGGAGCGCCTTCTGGAACAGAGATCGCCTGTTAAAGCTGTGCTTTCAGATGCTAACAAACGGTCTGAGCGAGATCTAGATCTCACAACTGATTTAATTTGGGAACTTCTGACTGAAACTTTTTTTTTCATTCAATGTTTCATTTGAAGGCTCGTCCTTCGGGATGATTGTGTTTGCAGTTTTCAACGTTATTTCTCTTAAACCTTTTCAGTTTGCTCTATATTCGTTGAGTTTAATTTAGTTTATTTATATATTTGTCTTACAGTTTAAAAATATTTATTAAGGAAAGGCTGTTTTTGACTATTTATTTTGTTTGCACAAAAAAAGTTTTCATGTGACTTTGCCCATATGCCTATACTATCAAAGTTGCACTTTGTGATATATTTATTTGTTTTAGTTTCTTTACCAAACAGTGTGTTTTCATTATTGTTACAAGTTAGATCTAGATCTCACAACTGCACAGTGGCGGACAGCAAAGGACATTGTATCAGTGCTGAAACCTATGATCACTCTCACCGAGCTGCTCTCGCAGGAAGAAAATGCATCTCTGTCAGCCACACTGCCCATGTTAACATAAATGAAGAGACGTCACTTGTTACTGTGCGATGACGACAGCCCAACCACTAAAACACTGAAAAAAAAACAAAAAACAGAAGAAATTGACAAGAGATGGGAATAGACAGGGAATCTTGCGACCAGCATATATACCCAAGCTGCTGTTTTAGACCCACGTTTTAAGAGCTTGTCATTCCTCGATGCAGAGAAACGGGAAGAGGCATACTCCACGGTTTTGGATCTGGCTGAAAGTTTATCTGCACACGCTGTTCCAGAAAGTGATTCTGCCAGCAGTAGGCCTACAGAGGAAAGTGAGCCCACACCAAAGAAAAAAAAGGAAAAGCAGGCAGAGATATTCATGCTGATGGCCATTGACGAAGAGCAGCGTGAAGAAGGAGAGAAGGATGAAATGAATGTACTTGGAGGACAAAACAAAGGTTGTTTTGTATATATATATATATACAGTATATATATATATATATATATATATATATTGTTTATTTATTTTTATATAGTATAGGCTATATGATATGCTATATTTAATTTGGGAACTTCTGACTGAAACTTTTTTTTTCATTCAATGTTTCATTTGAAGGCTCGTCCTTCGGGATGATTGTGTTTGCAGTTTTCAACGTTATTTCTCTTAAACCTTTTCAGTTTGCTCTATATTCGTTGAGTTTAATTTAGTTTATTTATATATTTGTCTTACAGTTTAAAAATATTTATTAAGGAAAGGCTGTTTTTGACTATTTATTTTGTTTGCACAAAAAAAGTTTTCATGTGACTTTGCCCATATGCCTATACTATCAAAGTTGCACTTTGTGATATATTTATTTGTTTTAGTTTCTTTACCAAACAGTGTGTTTTCATTATTGTTACAAGTTCATAAGTTGTGCTGTGTGTGAATGTTATACTTTTATTAATACATTATGAATATTCAGTAAAGCTCCCCCACCCCCGACATATTCATAATCATATCTTTTGTCGGTGTCGTTTTATGCGTGTGCAAGTTCTTAATGTCTATTTTTAATGCTTACTATTATGGTTTAGTATTTCTCTACAATGTAAAACAATGTTACAAATAACATTCTTTCTCAACCCTTAAACTCAAACCATTTCCCCCCATATTTGCTTAAGTAATTAAATTCATATAATAAACGGGCGATTAGTCGACTAATGGTTTTAATGAACGACTACTGGTCGACTAGGATAATCTTTAGTCGGGGACAGCCCTAGTTTCTATTTCGAATACTTCATGCTGTCTTTAAAATCACATAATTTGAAGCCTTATTCTCCAAATTAAAGAGGTTAAACACTTAATAATATAAACAAACCCAACAATGACCTGTGAGTGCCTGTGGTCCTGCATTGTTTTTGAAAACCTCGGAAAATGATGCACAAATGTCCAGATGAAATTCTCACCCACAGATTAGCGTGAGAAGGAAGTGAAAACTGAGGAAGATGGGAATAGAGAGAAAGGATGAATAAGCCGGAAAGCTTGCTTGTACCACCCCCTCACACTCCCACAACCTCATCATCTTGCTCGAGGCTATTCCCCATCCTTTAGCAATATTAGTAGGTTTACAGAGAAGGAATTGAGGACTTCCTTAGCACTTCTTTATCTCAATGGGAAATCTCTGAGGGACCAATCAACTCTTCAGTAATCGCACCGTTTGATATCAGAGACTTCTGCTATGAACGAGTCGATCATTCAATCGCATACCCCTACAAGTAGCCAGTCAAAGCTTCTGCACAATCTAAATAATTATTTCTGCTGATGAAATACTTCAAAACTGTCCTCTGTTGACCTCAAAATATGATTTTGTTCTGATGCCAATAATATCCTAATGCTTAATTGAAGCATGTTTAAAGGTTGTATGACTTGGTTTCTTGGCACATTAAGATGAGGATAGCATAATTTCTGTTTACTCTGGTGACTCAGGAGAATTGTTTTGTTTGTTTTTATATTAAGCGTAATTAATATAATCTTTGGCATTAGTTGCGTGTTCCTGTGTGTCCCTGTTGAAAACCAGATGGGATGTTGAGGCCTTGCAACTACTGCCTACTCACTGCAATTTATTCATTACACTGGAATGACTGGATGTTTTGTCTTGAATAAATCAAAGGCTGAGGCATGTGTTACTTTTAGTATTAGGGTTAATGCTAAAGAACTAATTGGTGCAAGTGGCAATTCCTTAGTTTACAGCTGTTAAATCAGCCGGGATTTGGCTTAAAATGCTCTTGAAACTCATACTCATCACAAGCCGACTACATAATTCCACAACAAAGACTCTTGATGCAAAATCAAGATTATTGTTGCTTAGTGCTCTCTGTGCTTAAAGGGAAAATATCAAAGAGACCTGGGTTCAAGATTGTGTTAATTTTTTCAGCTATTTTCATTTTAGTCTTAGTCTTAGTCCTTAGCTAAAATGTCCTTGTTAGTTTTTTTTTAATCATATTTAGTCAACCTTATCCTATTTAGTTTTAGTCAAGTTTTAGTCGACTAAAAGTCTCAACATTTTAGTCTAGTTTTAGTCCAAGAAAATCTAAAGTATTTTAGTCTAGTTTTAGTCAATGAAAACTTGATGTTTTAGCAATAAGATTATTATTAATTAACCGTACAGGATTATTAATTTTGGCAGCCATTTTTAATTTAGTCTTACTCAAATGTACATTTTAGTTATCATATTTAGACAAACGTGTCCTGTTTTTGTTTATTCAATGAAATGTATGAGCATTTTAGTCAGGTTTTTTAGTCAATGAAATATTAGTCACATTTTCGTCATTCTGTAAAATGGTTAAACTGATTTTTCTCAAAATTATAATCGTAATGATTGTTGTAATTTGAGAAATTTACTTTTGCATTTCAGGTATTGCACTTTCTCTAGTAAGCACAAATCAATAGAATGTGGACACATACATGGTGTATTTAATCAACACCAAAGACTTATGCAATCTCGCTGTCTACATTATGAAAACAGCTAAAACAAACGAAAAATATTATAACAGTGAAATTCCTAGTAATTCCACTAATTCCAGAATTGCAATAGTCTATTTCTCTATTAGGCCTAAAACAACAGCGATTGAGTAAGTGTATTTTTTCAGCGATCACAATCGCAAACAATATAGTGAGATCTCATGACAGTTTTGTCTCCTGTTTTTGACGAAAATAAAAAGATGTTTTTGGTAAAGTTTTTATCTTTTTGAATACATTTTAGTCTCGTCTTATTTCGTCAACGAAATTGCATGTTGATATAGTATTAGTTATCGTTTATTGACCTTATTGTGGCCTGGTCTTCGTTAAAAACGAACATTTTTCGTCATAGTCTTCGTTAACGAAATTAACACTAGTTCAAGATTTAATAGCTGTTTTGATAAAATAGGGTTCACTGGAAAAGGATTTTGTTGATCAAAATCCCACAGTGACGATATGAGAGATCATTTCAGAGAAAATGGTAGACACAATGCTCAGGTTCACATTTGTGTGGGGCTTAAAATAGAATGGCAGGCAAATGTATGTTAGCAACAAACAACTAACAAGCTTTCAGTTTATGAAGGTGAAACATGAATATACAGTAGGGGAGTGTGGGGTAAGCTGTGTCAGCCCCTTAATATAGCGAACTGTGCCTGTTTTTGTCATGTGACTATATATTTAGAAATGATTCATCATATACAGCTAACTGTGATTGAGAAATGAACACCTTTAACTTTTATTCAAGTCCACCCCCCCCCCCAATTATTAGAAATTCTTGCACAAATCTGCTGCCCTCTGTTACACAGCGT